CAACCCTAGAAGCTAGTAAGAATGGTGATAGAAAATCTTAAATTTGATAAAAATTACAATAAAATCTAATGATTACTTATAGTTAAAAATTGTAGTTAAATCTAATTAATTACAATAGTTTAAAACAAGATGCGGATAATATTAGTCACAGAAAATTAAGAGCGGTGGCAAGGGCAGTTACGGAAGAGGAACCAGGAGCAGGGCATGTCAATATCATAGGTAGTGTCCAGTAAAGTAAAATAAGTGGCGTGCAAAAAATATTTGAATAAACTTGGGCTAGAAAATTTGTCTTGAGGGGCGAGGGTGAGCTGTCATGAAAGAAAAAGAATTCATTAAGATTGTGGCGAGCAGATATGAACTGGCTTCAACCAGTAGCGCGGCTGTGATCCCATTCAGCAGCCAAGCGACCAACGGAGTTCGGCTCGGCTCTATGAGAACAGCATTATCGTTTGCTACTGCAGTGGATAATATCCCGTATGATGCGTTGTATACCCGTATTGACCTTGCACTTCGCCTGGCCTATGATGAATACTTTTCATCGGAAGACTCGAACGAAACACAGAAACTAGTGATATTGCTGACCGATGGAATACAATCTATATTCTCTGGTATGACTCCACCTTACATTCCAATAGAGGATACGGTACAGCTCCTTCGTTCCAAAGCTGCTCGTATCTTTGCTGTTACTATTGGGGATAATATTGACATGTCAGCGATGAGGGCTGTTACTGTGGAAGACGACGACATATTTCAAGCCACAGAGTTCAATGATTTGGTAGCGAAAGCCGACTCGATATCGAAGACATCATGCATTGACGCTCGTAAGCTAAATTTCTTGTATATTTTGCAGCTATTTTAACATAAAGTATAACTAGCGACCTTAGTGGTAGGCGCGGGCACTAGGACAGTGTGATATTAATGTGAGCGTAAGCAGTCTAGTCTATCAACTTTATTGGTCACAAAATAACAAATTACAAATTGCCGTTGCGACACCAAGGGTTTGGAGATAATTTTTTCCATTGAACTCAAATGAGTTCTCTGTTGGGATTACACCGAGCATTTTCCTTAAGTAGCGTGTGGGGATCGGAGGATCATAGTTGTGGAACGTCTCATATGCTTTGCATATTATTTCTGTTCCCTCCTCTTGTGGTATATTTGTGTATAAGCTAGAAACGTCCATTGTTACTAAAGTTGTATCTTGGCCTATCTTTGTTTTTTCTATAAAGTTGATGAAATCAGTTGTATCCTTTATGTAGGATTGTTGTTTTTGAGCAATAGGCTATAATAATGTGTCCACAAAAAAGGACATTCTTTCAGTTGGGCCGTCACAACCTGAGATGATCGGTCTTCCGACCAGAATAGGTTTGTGGATTTTTGTAAGCGTGTAGCAGGCAGGAATTCTAGGCGAGCTGGTGGTTTGAGAAAGCCAGTTTTTTGTCATGTCATCGATGTGTTTTCCCCGATGCAGTTTGTCAATGATCTTGTTGACCTTTCTTTGCGTGGTGTTCACCATCGGTGCTCCGAGAGGTTTATAGTGCTCTCTGTTCTCGAGTTGCACTTCAGCCTCTTGTATTTTGTTTGATTTATTCATGGTGACCGTTGTTGTTCCTTTGTCCGCTTTTTTGAGGCTTATGGCAGAGTTATTCTTGAGCTCTTTTAGAGCTGCCATCTCATTGCGTGACAAATTATTTTTGGGCTTGTTGATTCTGATGTCAGCAAGTTGTGTTTTGACACTTTCTAAATAGCTATCAAGGGTGATGGATTGTTGAACCGGAGACATCCAATTTGATTTGACATGAAAAGGATGTGGTTCTTTATCTTCGCCGTGATATAGGTAATGGAGGCGCATTCTTCTCGCGAATTGTTCAAACTCCTGCAAGAGTTGTCGCCTAATTATGGTTTTGTTAGTCACTGGCGTTGTGATAAATTTGAGACCCCTCAGTTGATAGCACGTTGACTTGGTCGTCAGATAGTTGATGGGTTGAAAGGTTTTTAAGGAATTTTTCATTTAATTTCTTTTCTTTGGCTGCCCGCCTTTTTCCAGAGGTGTTTCTACGCTTTTTACGCCGTTTGTTTTTAGAAATACCCTTGCTGGGTTTGTGGCCAGCTTTCGTAGAGTCAGAGAACAGGAAAAAACAAAGACAGGCCTGCACGGACTCCCAATGTGGTTTTTTGTAGTTGCGTCGCATTATCAAAAGCCTTCAGATTATAGTTTTGCTCTTACAAGCATGTCTTTTAGAGATTTACCTCTTAATTAAGTTGAGCAATTTGTGCAATTTTCAGCTCTTTACAAGCAAAATTGAGGGAAATATCAGCCATCAAAAACTGCCAAATTGCTGTGTGGTAAAAAAGTTAATGAGCCATACATTTCTCTGTAAAATTTCGAGTTTTTAAAAAAGAACTTCGTCGAAACCATTCCGTGTATTGGGCTCAAATTTTCAGAGTTAACTGAAAGTGTTATGCCCTTTCAATATTCAGAGTTTTTCTTTCATTAGCGTCATCAGATAGTGATAAGCAAATTTTAATGAGGCTAAAAGTGTAAACAAAGATTTGCCTATAGGGCTGCAAAAGCTGCTTTTCATTGGCATAAGCAACGTACGCAGTCGAAGTGAGAGATTTTGATAACTTTAATATCATGTGACGCCAAAGATGTCAATATTTGATTGCTATATATTTATTTGGAAATCGTTGACTGAATAGTTTAAAGAAAAAAAAAATCTGCAACTTGAAAGCACATAGGTGCGCCAAGAAATTTCCCTTGTACGCACAGGTTATGTTCGCCGGAACCCGATTTTGTGGCACTGTTTATCCAAGAGCCTTGCAAGGACAACCTCACGAGCTTACCCCAATTTTCGAAATTTTTTTTCACTTCCTGTTCATTTGATTTCCCCCTCAAAATTTACGGAATTTTCTTTTAAATGATTCACATTTCGGGTATTCAGCAAATCTCACTTTATTTTTAAAAACCACCCCATGAAATTTCGGTTTCATTTGTCCCCGTCTAAGCCCTTCCCCCTTTCATCGGACGTTATTCCATGGCAGTGTTACCCCCCACAATTAAATTGTCTTAATTTCGATGGTACCCAATTTTTGAGGCACCGGGGGAATGAGTTCTGCAGTGTCGTGATGAGGTGTGCAGAGTCGCAGTTAAATGAAATAACCCATGCACTTGATTGGCTGTTAAATGTTGGTTTCACATGCACACAGCCCGCACATACATTATAGCTTGCTTAAATAACTACTGAGACAATATACCTCATGTGATAGGTCACTTCAACATTCCTCGCGTCTGCAATTAGTCACGACACCATAAGATGTTTTACCCAAGGGGCGCTTTTTATTTGACGGAGAATTCCAGTTGAAATT